CCAAACAGCCTCCAAGATAAACATTAAACGGCCGCAAACAAAGCATTACCCACTGAGTTTCACATCGAGCCTCCCCTGGGACCGCGTTATCTTCACAGAATTGTAACTCAATTCTTGTATAACCACTTTACAAAAAGTCTCGATGAACTTCGCTCGTTGTGAACTTCGGACAACTAAAACTGAATTTGTAGTTGTGTCATAAACCTAAGCCAAGTTTAAAGTTGTTGCATCGCTCAGCTGCGGGCCAGTGATACTCTGCGAGCCACTCTTATTATTAGCTCGTCGAGTCACCGCCCTCCCCGATGATATAATAATGGGGGGATGACGCATGAGTGCACACTACATCACAAAACAACATTATACACAAATTACGCGTCACATGTACTCATTTGCTTGTTGTTCAGTATTTAGAAATTGAAAGCCTTAACTAGAATATTAGCTTGGACTACAATATTAGTAGTCACTAGAACAATGACGCAATCCACGGTTGATAGTGCTCTTTGATGATCAACTGTTTATTCGGGGAAATATGCTGTAGTCCTCTTGAGGTTACCCTAAGTTGGTTGGATTGGTATCTCCATCTACCCGAAGCACAAGATAAGCTCGGTTTAACCAGTGTGCTGTATAAAAGCAATCACTGGCGCTGCACTGCAAGCGGCCAGCTCGCGGGAAATCAAGCGCATTCTGGTTAGCTAAATAAATTAGCTGCAGTTAATGAGGGAGCTTTATGAATTTATGCTAATTAGCGCAACTAACACTGCTACTTTTTTATATAATCCACTTTTAATTTTAGCTGTTTGCAACGCGAGCCCAACTGTGCACCAAATGAAAACATTTCTCACAGAGATAAATGAACGAGAATATAAATAAATGTGAAGCAATGAATTAAATCAATCCCGTCATTAGGAACGACTGCTCATGGGAAATCAATATCGTGGGGAGCACTCGGTATGAATAAATTAGCAACAACTCGATTCCGTCGTTGCATCACCGAGTCGTTGGGACAACGTACACGTGGCTAGTGAGCCGGGGAGACACATTACACTCTAGTCACTGCCACAGAGTAGACAAACCATTAATACGTGCCGCGTTCTTAAGAAATCCATCCAAGGGTTCCAATCCGGTTCAATTCGGTAGCTATTATATCAAAGAAAATATTATTATTTATAATTTTTCCTCGCCCCTTCACAGCTTTGTGGTAAATGTGTACAGGAAAATATTATCCAGAAAATCCTACGTAACGTATCACAGCATTTCTTTTCTTTATCCTTCGTTTTGATCCTTGCTCCTTCTTACAGTGCCTCTCCAGTGGAGTTGGTACACTTACCGACGGATCGACTCCCAGCTGTTTCAAAAGATGCTCGTTTTAAATCTAATCTTTTGAAAATTGCAACTTCGGTGAAGAGTAGGCAAGTGATGCCTTTGTTTATTAACTGATCCGTGACCAATACAGTATATTAAGATGCGACCAGCCCGCCCGAGGGAAATCTGCAAGACGTATGTTCCCGGCTGCCGGCGGCGGCTGTCACAATACACAGTCTGGACTGTCAGCTCACCCACGTATACATAATTAGAAGACGACCTCCTGATCATGTTAAGAGCTACATACTTGCGTAGATACTTGTTATCTTGAATACAAATAATACAGAAAAACCATCGCACTGGCCCAGTGAGATCTTAGTCCTCCATTCAAAGCATGTGTGACTGTGTGTGGTCGACCAAAACTTGTTCAACTTTATTTTCCGAGAAAGTCGTACAAACGTTAATCGGATTGTGAGACTTGTACAAAACACAAAACGTTCCGATACGTCCGGTTTAGCGCACGTAACTTAACCGGACCGTTCCGGGTGACGGGCAAGATGTGGCCCGCGGGGAAATCACTCCGGCTGCCGGAACTGCTCCCTGAATAAATTACCAGCGCACTTAACGCCAACACCTTGCATCTTCAGCTTAACTTAGTATAAGTGGAACGTTATCTTCAGGAAAACCTACACTACCGACAAAGGCGCATTTAAAAAGTTTTATTCACTTTGTAAGTTCCAACTCAAGTAAGTTATTTACAGTGACACGCTGACACAATGCTTATCTGAGCATGTCAATGAACACTTACAACAGCGCAAACTCGTTAGTAATCTGACATGAATAATGAATTTATTAATGATTTCATACGTATCCGTGGCAGGCAGGACGGCTCGCGGCCCTCTATGAAATACGGAGGCTGTACCTATCTGATCATTACCCTCGTCATGTCAAAACATACATATAGACATTAGACATTGTACAGCGGTCGTACCGTACTTATAACTAAGTATATTTAACGAGAACAGATTTCATTAAAATCATAGCCGCGCTTTGCGCTCGGGTTGCGCGCATCTTCCTAAGCAAAAACCCAATGTTTGCATTCCACAAGGCGAGGAGCCAAGAGCCACGAGATGTCGTGTCCGACCGAAATGAATAAATTAACTGCACCAGCTTCGTGATTCCAGCCACACAGACAGGACATGCTGTAGTATAGTCTGTTATAAGCATTTATTGGGATGGCGTCACAATACAACGATTGAATCAATACCCAAACAAAATTTTCTGATTTTTATAAAATAAAATGGAAAGATATTATCCACAAACAGTTTACGATTCAAAGTCAACCGTAAAGTAACGCTGAGTTTAAATGAAATGGCGCAGTAAAAGTGGACACGTAACGTCCGTAGTTCACGAGTGTGCTGTTTATGACAAACAACTAAAACACAGCTGAAATTGCGTTCCTAATATGTGCTAGAAAGTTTACACGTGCAAAACGTCGCTTTACAACTAACGCAGGATAGGAGATGAGTATGGAGCTGCGTCGAAAATAGTTTCGAGATGAGGTATTGGAATTTGCAGAGCATCAGCAGCAGCAGTAAATAGCGAAAAACACGTTTTAAACATAGATACCAAACCTTCACAATTTAATTTTCCTGTAGAACCCTTTCTACGTAATCTTAAAATTGGAGCCTCTCCGTAAACGAGGGTTCGATGCCCATAAATATCGGCTTCACAAAACCATAACCTCTATCGTTAGCTTGTTAACAGCAAAACGAAACAAGATTTCCAGCTTAATGAAAACCACAGACGTCTTCATTCGTGGCAAACAACGTTCAGAAACCTCGCCTCGCGCCCGAGGGAAATCAGTCCGGCGTGCGTTCCGAAACCTTTGTCGACCAGTAATTACACTGACCACTAGAACGCTATACGGCATTTTTCTTGTGTCTTTAGCTTTTAATTAGTGATGTCAAAGGAAAGACGTGCTTCATTCCAACATGGAGTTCGTTAAAATGCTGGCTGGAAAATTATTTTAAATGTTTAGACTAAAATAATTATGCAGACGAAGTTCGCAGTAGTAGTAGCCTCCGACATAGACAGGCAAAAAATGTGTATGTATAATGAGTGATTTAATTTAATATTTCGTGCTGGTAATGAGATTTTCAAAAACGAAAAGCTTTGTAACACTTGTTGGCAATAAAACTCACGACAACAACAACAAAGCGGTAGTCAACTAAAAATGATTACGTTACGCTTTGTCCAGTAATCACATTAGTGAGAAAGCCACAGAAATCTAATGACATTATGTTTACAAACGAAACACAAGTTGTTTGCCAAATAAATTATGTTCCGTGCTACAGAGTGATGTTTTATTAATTATACAAAAACAATTTCAAACAAAGTCATTCCAATTTAGAATCAAAAAACAAAATAATCATTCATACCGAAGTTAATTGGTTTAGGGTGGTCGAGCAAAAACTCCCATAGAAAATGTGAGAAAAATGTGCGGTACGTAATGTAATGTTTCATTCGTTAAGCCGTGATTGCCAGCCTCCGCTAATGGAATTAATAATTTGCCAGATCATATGCAAAAATGGCCGCGTTTGCACGATGGAAAACGCTTTTAGCTCTGAATTATGCTTGTGAAAATAAACTTCGCGTGGATATTAAATTACTAAAATTAATAGCCTGCCATGAAAGAATGAAAAACTTGCTAATGTCAACAGTTTCAATAAATTGCTTTCATCCCAAACTTAAACATGTGTATGTACATCACGAAAATAAAAGTACTTTCGTTTACATCAACAAACAAAAATTATAACCAACTTTCGTAGAAGCCGTAGCATTTTCGTAGCCCGACTACGAGTGACTACTACGCCATGGCTAGCAATAGATCTTTACGTGTGCATGTTTTGTAATTAGGTCGCATTCTTTGTACTTTAAATGTGTTTTATGTACATATAATTATGTATACGAAACGATCTTGGTACTGACTTACTCGTTGATCTAGTCTTATATAGTTATCCACTTAGTACTTACAGGATTCATTAGATCGAGAACAAAACACATAACATTTTCTATTCAAGCACGGGGTTTATAAGTGAGTATAATAATATGTAGTATTCAGTTCACATCGTCATTATTAGTATTATTACCCACACAACATAATAACTGGTCAAAGACTGTTATAAGTACCGATAGAATCGGATCGTTTTTGTATGAGGTAATTTAAAATACCTTCACTGAAGTCAGGTCAACTTTGCATTACAATTATTGGATCCATCATGATGGGATATCGCTAACTAACTTAGCCTAGTTTCGGTACTGTAACGATCTATGTAATCGCGGTCAGCGTCGAAAATTTTGCCGCCAAAATAAAAATAAAATGTCAGCTCGTTACTCCAACGCGGGGTAATCCAATCTGGTTGATTCGCATTGACCCTTTCGACGACGACAGGACTACGCCATTTCAAGTACGTATTTATTTTTGTCATTTATGTTTGTATCGTCGAGTCGACAACTACACGCTGATGTAACGATACAACTATTTTGAGAAATTGTTGAAAACGTCAACTTTGTGAACGGGAGGCTTATGTCTGTACTAGTAACGTCTTGTGGCTGTTAGAGTGATAATGATATTTTTTTTTGTTTATGGGTTTTGTCCCTTAGCACATCACCCATTGCGCGCAAAATTAATTATTATCGATTGCACATACTTATGTAGGTACCTGCTTATTATTAATTAAAAAGTTGTAAGCAATTATAAATTATGGCACCATGTCATAATACCAATTCATATGATTTATTTTAAGAACTGGGTACCTAGCCTAGTACCTAGCTACCTAAATAAAAGAGGTAGGTACCTACTCAGACTCTAAAAAGTTCCCAAATGATCAGTATTCTTTACTTTAAGCAATAAAAAACCAAGTACCTACCTAGGTAAAACTCGTTATGTATACTGAGTACTCAACCATCGCTGTTCCAACTCCAATGAAAAATATTGATATCCACAGCCCAAGTAAAAAAAATATCTTGTTTTTATTTCTTTTTCACTAAGCGTTCGAAGTTGTTTTATTAATCTTCTAAATATCAGTTTTATTTTTAAAACAAATAAAACATCTCGCTAATAACCACCTGCCTATATTTACTTAATTATTAATTTCTGTAACTTTGAATGAGCCATGCCCTTTAATCCGTGAAAGAGTAGGCAGAAGTATCAATTTTACCTCTTACAGGCTCTACATGAGGAAAAATAACTCATTACTCAAATCAAAAAGTAAAACATATAACGCTAAATACACATAGCAGTACTAGTAGCGACATCTATAAAGTAAATGAGGAAACATGAAGTAAAGACGCTAGACATAAACTGTCGTCGCTCCGTTTCTCACTGATTCAGAATAACGGAACGTTTCGTTGTACAATATAATTTATCTGTGCACACTTTGCCAGCTGACATTGACAGATAACAAGTTATTGTGTTTCAACATTACATTACAAATAAATACGTGAAAGGATCGTGAATGCTATGGCGTTGAGTTACTTTAATGAAAGCGAGGCACCCCGGGACTTCCGAGTATCTTCGACGGAGAGTGATGGCCACTACAAGAAATGTCTCCTTTGTTACACCGTGAAAAAGAACTTCTATTGTCCAGATTGCGTCAGGGCGGGCAATTTCGTACATTCATCTATGCCTTACGCAGATAGGTACGTTCTTCCACTTTATTTACGCAGTAATATCAATAACGTCCTATAATTATCTCAGTCTGACTATCTCTGTTTTGACTGCAATTTTATTTCTAATTTCAAAATCGATGGTCACTTGCGCGTCCCATGATATTAGAGTCACCATATGCGTCGTATTTATATGTAAACAATGCGGAAATGTTGTTTGCACAAACTGAATGGATGAAAATAAATGTAAAGTGCAATATTTACACTGAAACCACATCATGATAAGTCATTGTTATGGTGTCAGGTATATCAGGCAGGGTGCATGTTTACAAACTTACATAACCTTGAATTGTTAATGTTGTGGCGGTAGCAGCGACTTTATGACTCAGCTTTTCATGAATATGAATAATTATCTAAATGAATATCAAAACCATCTATCTATCCTAATGCCTTTATTTATGTAAACGAATTTTTTTACCATAATGATTCATTTGCTCATTTTGTTTTTATTGTTTAATCTGAAGACAAAACAATCTTACTCTATATATAAATCAACAGATATGCAGAGAAACAAGGAAAACTACTCCGTGTTAAAGTGAACCGTAAACATGTACTGGACCAATGTGAGAGACTGTTAGCAAATAAACTAAAAAGGGACACATTAGTGACAGAGGCCAAGCAGTCCAGAGACAAACTAGAGCTCCTTAGACTGGCCATACAACAGAGACGCAGAAACATCGAAGAAAAACGCAGAGAATTGACAGAACTTAGAAACTACAACAATGAGCTGACAATAAAGTTACCAAGGTACCAGAAACGAGTGACAAGCCTCGGCAAACATGCAGAGGTGCAGAGAATGGAACTGGAGAACAAAGTCAGTATGTACACGGAACAAACAGACGCATTGGCAGCTTTACGAAGATCTCGGATACGACAACTCACCAAATACATTTTCCCTGTTTATATTACCTATGATACCAGGTAAGTTCCTTTTTAATTTTACATAATTTAATTAGCAGTGACTTTTATAATACCCATATTAGTACATTTATATATCATACTGAAAATTTTGGTATTTTGTTCAGACAAAAATAATCTGTATACATCAGAAATAAGGTCTATTAAGGAGTTAGTAGAAAGCAATCACCGGTGACCGCTTGGGGATTGAACAGTTAAAAATTGATAAGAACAATCAATATTAAACCTGCTATTAGCTAATAAGATGTAAAAATCTACAAGATATGTATTTTCAACACATATTAGAAAGGAATATACTTGATCTGTGCCACTGTCCATGTAAATGAAATTAATACAATATTATCTAAGTAGGGCATTTAAACAGGCTAGTGATAAGATACAGACCGATGTTATCAGTGGATCACTAACTATATTGTTATATTACTATGTAATTACGTATTATTATAAATATCTTAACATTTTAAGTCTACTGAACAGAAGATTGAGTTGGATTTCCAAATTGAACAACGATTATTGGTTTGCTCGAACTTTCGCCAATTTCTAAATGAATTATTAGAGTTTGGGATGATAATGTTATGATTGTTATGTTATTACATGAGATTCATTTATTTATGTATATCTCCAAAATATATTATTTTATCTTTCATTGTTAAATAAAATCATTGCTTGCCTCTAGCACCTACCATTTACTCTTCTCTGCATCACCCAAAGGTCAGACTGGTAGAAAATGCCGGCGGCATTAAGTCCACCTTTTTGTACATTTTGTGCATGAAGCATATTAAATAAATAAAAAAATTCATAACTTAACAGGTGAAAAGTTATGTTACAAATGTAACATTTTACATTTTGTATGTTTGCTTATGCTTACTCCTTCAGGGAATTAAAGGCTTAAAATTATGTTCTTGGTGTTCTCCAATGTCATGTTATATTGATATTAGGATTTTACCTGCAGTCTTTGTAAATATAAACACTTGCAGTTAGCATGATCAGAATGTAAGATATTGTGAGCCTTTTACAATGCATTGTAATTTATACCTTGAATACCTTTTTTTTTTTTTTTTTTTTTAAGGGGGGAAAATCATCGAATGACTGCCCCCGCCTGGGTGAGGCGGGAGGGAGTGTCAGACTCTTACTGACTAAAAACCACCCCGTTCCTTCTCCTGCACGTCGAGCCGGAGCCCCGGTTACCCGTTAGGTTCTCCGCGACTCGTTAGGTTCTCCGCGACCCTTGAATACCTTAGAGAATAATGTAGTTTGTCTTGGTCAACAAACTATTTATATTTATTTAAAGTTATATTATTTAAGTTATATGTAGTACTAGCTGAACCCGCAACTAGGTATGTCCGCGTTTTTCTAACATAAAAGTAGCCTATGTTATTCTTTACTACATCAGCTACCTGCCAATAATAGTCTCGTTAAAATCGGTTCAGCCATTTCAGAGCCAGTACAAACAGACAGACTAAAATTGTAAATCGTGTTATTTTGGTATATGTATTGTATGTATATTCATATGCATGAAGTAAAATGTTATTACTTCAATATTCCAAAGAGACAGTCCAATATGAAGCTAATTCATCTGTTGATTTTTTATGAAGCAAGTCACATATTCCACAAAAAGTATAAGGAAGTGTTGTATAACTACAGATGAAATACCTAACATTTTTTCATTACTTACATAATGAAACTGATTTCAAATTCCTTTCACTTAGCAAATACTTTTATTATTTTTTTCTTGTGTAATTCAATGGTTATTTCAGCGAGAGTATAGAGGACATGGAGTTTATAGGCGAGGACACGGAGGAGGAGCCCCCGCACAGGCCGCAGCTACACATCGTCGCGCCCTGGATATACACGGATGGAGACTTCTCGCAAGTACAGGCCTGGCGTACGTATATACTGACACTTTCAACTTTAAAGCTATGTTATAGAGTTCAATTTATTTTATTAACCGTTTAAGAGTATACCTCCACTACATTTTCGCCTGCAAGTGCAACTTAACTGCAAGTGGACTGAATGTAGGTCGCCCAACCGATCTGGAATAAGTCTTTAGAAGAGGCCTATGTTCGACCATAAAGTTTTCATAGCTGATGATGAATTGCGATGTTTTTATAATAAGTTTCGTGTGACATACTAAATTAACTAAAATCGCGGGTTACTCACGTGAATGTACTGCGAGAAGTTCTACTAGTAGAGCTTCGTAGAGGTTCGAAACTAATAGAGCTTGAGCTCAGTATAATCACGTGAGTAGCCCGCGATTTTTGTTAATGAATTGCGATCCCCAAGTTCCTTGCCAAGGATGAAGAATAAACAACTGTGCTGAGCAGTAGATATGATCCGCCTAATGACGACGTGGTGGTTGTTCCAGTCCGGCAGAACAAAGACATGGTGGCAGCGCCCCCGGGCGGCGCGGGCGGCGCGGGCGGTGCGGGCGGTGCGGGCGGTGCGGGCGGGGCGTGCCCGGGCGCGCGCGCGTGCGCGGCGCTGTCGCTGTGCGCGCAGCTGGTGGCGCTGCTGGGCTGGGCGCTCGACGCCAGGCTGCCGCACACTATTGCACTCAAGTCAGTCTCTTACTACTTAGTATACTCAAGTCAAGTAATACCTACCATAACTCATAACATGTCTAGCTGCGTGCTTCTTTACTTTTTGCAAAGGCAGTTGATAAATTAATTATGTTTCGTGCAGTAAACACTTTAGATCGTGACTACGACCGGCTCGAAACTGATGTAGATGTAATGAAGAAGGAAATAGGATTGCGCATCGCACATTTACTAAACACGATTTGTGACTACATGAATCACACTTACTAGGTACATTTAAAATAATGGATTGATAAATATTTTCCTTAAATCATTTATGATGTTGATATTATCGTACAAAATATCGATAACATTTCCCTATGAAATGAAAACAATAGTCAACTACAAAAGTAAGTGCTAAATATCGCACTGCTTACACAAGCCTCCATAGCTCAGGGGTTAGAGCACTGGTCTTGTAAACCAGGGGTCGAGAGTTCAAATCTCTCTGGAGGCATTGTGGTTAGTGGTATTTTTTGCATTTTCCAACCATTTATCTGTTTATCTTACCTTTAAATGCAATTTTGAATAATTTATTACTTGTTATTCCACCTTTAAAATTCTAACATTAGCTAAATTTGTCCAGCTGTTGTCAGGGGCGTAGCTAGCGCCGTATCTGCCGTATCAATTATACGGGGCCCCCGGACTACAGGGGCCCCCAACGTGCCTAAGCAAAAATTAATCAAAACTTCCCAATTTTTATTCTATTCCAGTAATCACAAAAGTAAAAAAAACCATTTTCCCGCGTTGAGCATGCGTTCAAAGGATGGCAGAAACTTAAGAAAAATAAAAGTAATTAAAGTCCGCTAATTAGGACAGAGGGAGTTGCCTGCCTGAGTGTTGTCTATGGCAACAAAGTTTAAACATTAAATGCGTATATTTAAAGTTTTAATTTTACAAATTCATGTGCAAGTGAACTTATTTTGTGTTTCATCGCTGTGTAACAACTCAATAAACCTCATAAAACGTTTGCAATACTGTGCGTCAAACAATTGTGACAATATACAAATAATATGGAAATATGTTTATTGTAAAAACAAAACATTGAAAAAATGACTTTTTCGACCTATACCGTAGTGTCAACATGAATATAGTTAAAAAATAAATCAATCAAAAAGTGATTGTAGAAAAAGTGACTTGTAAAACGGTAAAACTTGTTTATTGCGATTATAAATAACCGTTACAGTTTGATTAATTTTCAAATGACCTTTGGACCCTCAACAATAGCAAAGACAATGATAATTGAATGAACTTATAAATAAAATCTCTCCTTTACACGAAACGAAAACAAACAACTGTCAAACATATGTATTGCCAACCTATGATCGGTGTTACAAGTACAAAAAAACAAACCCAAAATAAGGGTAATTGACAAAATTTCATAAAATTATTGATTCATCACATAATTAACGTATCGACTATTGGTGCTCCGAATCTGCAGGCATTTGAAGGTAATTCTCGCCATGGATCTTGACCGGAACATCACGTATCGAAGGCCACGACGTGCCAGCTCCCTTATTGACGTTTCAAGAGCTGAATCGCCTGTTTTTGACACTACTATGATGAGCCTCCCGAACACATCAATTAATGAAAACCAGGCAATAGTTGAACTCAATGAAAAAATAACTATTCTCACAAACCAATTGGCCAGTGCACACCAAGAAATTGACAATCTAAATTCCGAGAACTTCCGCTTAAAGACTGATTTGAGCAAAAGTATCAAAAAAAAACCATTTTCCCGCGTAGAGCATGCGTTCAAAGGATGGCAGAAACTTAAGAAAAATAAAAGTAATTAAGGTCCGCTAATTAGGACAGAGGGAGTTGCCTGAAAAGATTTTAGGTTTTCACACTAATTATAAGTATTTTATTTAAAAAATCTCTTATGAGAAATGTTTACCCTTCAAGGGCCCCTAAACAAATTTTTATACGGGGCCCCCCCAATGCACGCTACGCCACTGGCTGTTGTCGAGTTCTAGCAAGACAAATGAACATCAGTCTATTTTGTATGTACAGTCTGTAAAAAATCCAGTGGGCACTAAAATGGAGAATAATAATGATAATTTCTAAATTCATGACACGTGGACGTAAAAGGCTAGTCTTTGTTAATTAACGAAATAAAATACCTGGCTTTCGTATTATTTATGTGTTTCGCTATTTACACAACTGAAAACAAGTTTATTATGTAAACACATAATTAAAATAAAACTTATACTATAATTCATTTACATTACACAAGAAACAAGAAAGATCAAATACCTACACATGAATCAGCGAAAATTAACCTTACGATACCGATGTCTTCCTAATCGCAAATCTCGAGAACGGATTCACAGAATTGGATAAATCTTTGTTTATTTTGTTCGTTATTGTAAAGACAAGGTTTTTATGAAAGAAAAACTAAAGGATGGCTTGGATAGTTGAGGAATAACAGGTACCCTTCGGACCCGTGGTGTGTTAAACCTTTAACTTCTTTTCTGGTTATAGAAAATAACAATGAGTATGGCATCACAATAATAAAACCTTTTTTTGTCAAAACTTGTTTGGTTTTTGTGTAGCACAAATACGCCTCACGGCAATGGGTGCCAAATATCGGTCGTGCCTACACAAGCCTCCATAGCTCAGGGGTTAGAGCACTGGTCTTGTAAACCAGGGGTCGAGAGTTCAAATCTCTCTGGAGGCATCTCTAGATATAAGGTCTTTTTTACATCTGTCAGTATTATTTTTATTTTCGAATAAATTTTCATAATTTTTGTGCATTGTTTACATTGAATTTTAACATTTAGAAGTAATTATTTTGATTAGCATTTTATTAATTGAACCGTTATCAGTTTTCGTTAATTGTTATAGTTAAAGTACGACAATGATGAGGTCAATAACTTTTACTGATTATTTCTTTATTTTATAACGATTGTTCGAACATAAACATGTTGTTGAAAGAGGTAAGAATAATGATTAAAAGATGAATGAAAGCAAGAAAATGTACGGTCGTCTTGAAATCAAATCTTTTTATATTTCTAGATTAATCCGTAGGAGTTTAAAAATTTCCAAAGTTATTTGAATTTGTTGTCTAACTTTTGTCTACTAACTGCTCCTGTTGGACCTTGCATACGTATAAGTTATCACTATGGTAATTCACTTACAAAGGGCCCTCCCCTTGAGTTAGCAGTGAACGTCTTCCAGCCGATGATAACAGCGCGGTGTTGCAGTGAGTACAGCTCGTGGCGCGCGTGGGAGGGCGGGGCGGGGCGCGCGCGGCGACTGGGCGCGGCGGCGGCGTGGCTGGCGGCGCGCGCGGCGCTGTGTCCGCCGCACGGCCCGCACGCGCCGCACGCGCTGTCGGCGCTGCACTCGCTCGTCGTCGCCGCCAACACTGACGACCCCATGCTGGGCAGGTTCGTATACCACTTTTCAGAATATATTCTTCTGTACTGTGGGTTCATAATAGCCTGAAGAAAAAGTCTAATAAAAATAACGATAGTATCACATACATTTCATACTAATAAATGGACATTGTAATTAGAATATTTTGTGACCTATCGAAGGCTTTTGATAACTTAAATCACCAAATTTCTATCAAACTTAAACACCTAATATATTTTTGTAAATCGACGTTCAATTTAATAATTCCATATTCAATTTATATTGAAACACGATTGGGTAAATAGTGTTAAATGTAAAGGTCAGTCAGAAAATGGAATGCCACAGGGTACAATATTAGGTCCATCTCTTCTAGAATGCGTAGATAAATTATCCCACAACTATCACACTTATGTTTGATTAGTTTTCAATACGGTATTTGTGTAAGTATACGATTATAAAGTATGTGTACGCACAGAGTGGAGTCGTGGACGAGTAGTTGCGACGCGGCGGCGCGGTCCGTGTGGGCCGACGCCATCGCCGCGCTCGGGGACCTCGACACCGACGACACCGAGCCGCCTGAACATCTACACTGGCCTGAGGCCATGGAGGTAACATTTGAACATTTTTATACTAATAATAGCAAATATGGATAATGACTCGATATTTCCACTAACAAATGCAGCAGATTATCTACAAATAAATATACTCTCATTAATGATTTTATCGAAAGCTTCTATATGTATTTTTCTAGCTAATTGAAGAGATATAAGTACGATATTTGTTAGAAAAGTTACAACAGTGATCTCATCTACAAAATCATGGAATCTGGGTGGATAGTATTGACTTTGACCAGTGTTTTTATCATCCTTATTGTAAATGTGTTTGTTCAGCAGTGGATGTCTTGTACCTTCCTTAATGGTCGTGTATTTGTGTGGCCAGATGGAGGAGTTGAGTGGTAGCCCGGCGTCCCCGGCGCCGGCGCCGTCGCTGGTGACGTCGGCGGCCGCCTCGCTCGCCTCCATGTGGAGAGTCTTCACCAAGTGACCGCACTGCCACATCACTACTAACTCAACTACCTGTCTAATGACTAGTCTCAATAACTTTTGGTAATTTGACTATTAGAGATAGAATTTTGTAACGATGAGACTGGCTGTAAGTCGTCGACGATATTTACAAATGAGTACTACTACTGCTTATCGACGTACAATGCTTAGTTAAATGCCCCATGACGCTCTCTTCCGGGAGCAAAAGCCATCGCGTTTTGACGACTTCGTCGTTGGACGATTTATAGGCGACTTCAATAGAACTTGTTCTAACATTGCGTATTAGATAATAAAAATAATTATAACTAATTTTTTATTTGTATCACTGCGATTTTAAAGTATTTATTGCACTCAATTGTTCACTAACAGTTTTGAATGAGGTCACTACGCTTTCAAATATACTTTCTTTCAGTAGACTACAATTCTAGAGACTTAAAATTACCGCCATTACTGCCATCTAGCGGCCGATATCGCATTGTAGATAGACGAAGGATTATAATGTACCTACCAAAGCAAGTTAAGCCGCGCTTTCACTCGGAGACATGTCGCGGGGACATATCGCCCAATATTCACGTCATGTCTTTGCAACTTTTGGAACAATGTTACTGGATATTTCGCTTGTTCACATGGACCAGTTGTAATCAGTATGTCGCCCGAGGAGGAGCCAGTATCGTCGTCAGACGTCGGGCGACTTCGCGTAGGACTCGTGAACTTCGTGTCGAGCGACAGACTAGCGAAACAAATGTCCCTCCCTAGCGAAAATGAGGCTTTACATAGTATAATATAAAGTCGCACATTATAATAATTACAAAGACCTAACAGTAGTACACAGAAATAGCTATATATATGTGTAACGTATTATAGAAGTATAATAAATGTTCATCTTAGTGAAACTATTCCGTCTAACCTACTCGTATCATAAGTAGTCAAATATTTTGTATTATTGAGTTTTAGTCACATAAAAACACTTACTATCTCTGTCACACAACTGTTTTCTTCATGTGCTAGACAGAGATAGGGATCACATCGTCTGTGTGTCTTGAACTCAATCTTAATAAGGGTGGACTTAAAATGTGCCCTGTGGAAAACCATACCTGTATTCTTTTTATTATCAATGTTACTCATTTAGCCATCCAACAAACGATTATCAGCCTTATTGTTCAAACAGTACTCAAACAATAAAATCTTATTACGAAATATTGCTAAAGTATAACTTTTCAATAACACGTCTTAGAAACCCTTTGTAAAAAACTACAAATAAGCGCCATAGCATTCCAATTAAATAAAAAAATCGGAGAGTTTTACAATACGTTTTGACTTCGACTTCTTTTGATATAATATGGTCCACCCTTTACAAATATAAATTAGTTAAAGTGATTATAATGGCTGATGTAACTAGGTGTGCACTAAATGTGGCTTTTTATCTTACGACAGAGCGATGTGTTTACAAATTGTTTTAGTGATTCTATTTGACATTAATGAATATCCTAATAATGAGAGCAGACATAGACATTATTGTAGGCACTACTGAAGCAAACATTCATTTATCAAATTATAATAATTACAAATTTTATCGCAAATGTTCATGAGAATCATATTTAAATTATAGCAATTCATTATTTGTATAACTATTGTATAGTTTACTAAATTTATGCCGCTACGGGAAAGCCCGACTGGTTTCGAGCTCATACGGAGCCCTTAGTCATGAGTTGTGCACACGGTGGCATGCTACATGTGCGAAGGCCGTATAGAAATGATCTAATTTTGTATTAATTGAAGTATAAATTAATTTCATGTAATTGGCTACGCCCTGTGAAAAACAAGTATTATGTGGGTTGTGTCAACTTTAATTATCTCAACGAATTGACAATGTTTTTATATTTTTTTCTGCATTATGGACATGAATAAATACTATATAGTTTTATATAATAATGTGTTTTATTTTATACTAACTCTAATGGCCCAATACAAATATCTGCTCTTTACACTCCCCCTAAGCATAAATTGAAATCTGATCAATATACGGCATTCTTTGGCAAACTTGGCAGCAAATTCATTGCAGGAGGGGATTATAACGCCAAACATACCGACTGGGGCTCAAGACTTATCACCACAAAGGGTCGAGAACTCATGCAAACCATCCAAAAGTTAAATCTAGGCTACACATCTACTGGGTGCCCAACATACTGGCCTTCTGATCCAAAAAAGAAACCAGACCTGGTAGACATTTTTATTACCAAAGGTCTTTCTAGTTTGGCATTGCTTTGCCACCCTACTTATGACCTATCCTCGGACCACAGTCGCGGAGAACCTAACGGGTAACCGGGGCTCCGGCTCGACGTGCAGGAGAAGGAACAGGGTGGTTTTTAGTCAGTAAGAGTCTGACACTCCCTCCCGCCTCACTCAGGCGGGAGCAGTCATTGGATGATTTTCCCCACTTAAAAAAAAAAAAAATCCTCGGACCACACAGCTATTATAGCGAAGCTCCAAAATGACCTCGTAGAAGTTGTCAGACCCTGCAAACTGCACTCAAGGAGCACCAATTGGGAACTTTTTAGAGAAATTATAAAAAATTCACTTAACGAACGCGTTCCTCTCAAATCAGAATCTTTAACCAATGCGTTCAATCGGCTGCTTGGGATGCCACTCCACTCAGACGAGCTGTGAATACGATTCCCTTGTATCCGCTAATCGTTACGGATATAATACAAAGAAAACGACGCGCAAGGAAACTGTGGCAACAAACTCGACACTCTAGTGACAAGAAAATACTTAACCATCTAACCAAGCAAGTGAAAAATATCCTCTTGATGATAAAAAACAAAAACCTGGAAGATCGTCTGTCTAAAATGGATGCAACATCTGCTACTGATTACTCGCTTTGGAAAGTGACCAAATCTCTGAAAGGACCAATTGAGTTCCAATCACCTTTGCGACGGAATGACGGCTCTTGGGCTAAAAGCGACACAGACAAATCCACACTGTTTGCAGAACACTTGTCTAGAGTGTTTACTCCAAATCCAAGCTCGGGTTCAACAAAGGTGAGTGAAGTGATGGAGGCTTTTTCAGCACCGTACCAACTTGCACCCCCAATCAAAAAATTCACTAAAAAAGAGGTTACATCTATAATCAGAAAACTCAACCTGAATAAAGCGCCTGGTTATGACCTTGTTACATCTAAGGTGATGAAAGAACTCCCTCACAAAGCAATAACCCTATTAACAGCTATTTATAACTCAATCTTAAGATATGAATACGTCCCTGCTCAATGGAAAGTAGCAGAAATTATTGTCATTCCAAAACCTAGGAAGGATCCGGAAAATGTATCATCATATCGACCGATAAGTCTCCTGCCTGTTGCCTCAAAAATAATGGAAATTCTTATCTTAAAACGACTGACTCCAGAGCTTGAAAAGCCAAATTAATCCCTACTCTTTCTACCTGAAAGCCAAACTGATGTTTGGCTTTCGCAAAGCTCATGGGACAATTGAACAGGTACATCGTTTGGTTGAAAAGATAAACCATGCCTTTGAAAACCAGAAATACTGTTCAGCGGCATTCTTAGACATATCGCAAGCCTTCGATCGTGTGTGGCACGAGGGACTCTTATTTAAAATCCTACAAGCCTTACCAGTCAACATCTATCTCATCATCAAATCATACCTCCAACAACGACACTTCTATGTAAAACATGGAGAAGCCAGAAGCAATCTTTATAGAATCCAAGCAGGTGTTCCTCAGGGCAGCGTAATGGGTCCTATCTTATACCTAATATATACTTTTGACCTACCAACTTCCGACGAGGTCCTCGTAGGGACATTCGCTGATGATACTGCTCTTATTGCAGCACACGACTGTCCCGTGGCAGCGTCCGACATGCTGCAAAAAAGCCTTAATGACGTTTCGGCCTGGTTAAATGATTGGAGAATAAAAGCTAATGAATCCAAATCTGTACACGTAACTTTCACTCTCAGACATGCATCATGTCCCCCAGTTGTTTTCAATAGCATAACAATTCCTCATATACTTGAGAATATACTTGGACAAACGATTAACTTGGAAGAAGCATATATTCACTAAAAGGAAAGCTCTAAGTACACAACTTCGAAATCTCTACGGGCTCATGGCACGAAAGTCAAACCTGTCACTAAGCAACAAACTTCTCCTCTACAAAGCTATATTAAAACCAATATGGTCATATGGAGCAAAACTCTGGGGAACGGCAGCCAACACAAACTTGGACATTTTACAACGCTTCCAATCAAAAATGCTTCGAATGATTGCAAATGCCCCATGGTATATAAGTAATACCCAATTACACCGAGACTTAAAAATAAGACCAGTGAATGAGGAAGTCATAAGCAAACTGAAGTCGTATTCTCGTCGCATAAGGATTCACCCCAACAAGCTTGCTAGTGAGCTTATGAAGTCTGCCAGCGCCTTTAAGCGCATCAAAAGGAGAGCTCCACAGGACATACTCCTGTCTCAGCAAAAACACCCAACTTGAGGGATGCAATAATTGAAGACGGGTACACCACTGGGCGTTCTCCGTACATGTCACAATACAAATAAAAGATCACAAGTAAACAAAACAAATGTAATTTTTAATAAATACAATAAACTATAAATACGACTAGTAAATAATACTGTTATAACTAAAATTAATAAATGCACTAAAATGTCTTTTAAATAAAACTAGTTAATGCCGTTGTGGCAACACCATCTCAACTTTAGCAACCCTATCACGTGACTACCACAGATTATACGAACTCATATTATCTGGAATATTATGCAGAATGTGATGAATGGTGAATATTTTTATCATTACACATTCAACTTGGAACTGAATGAGAACTATCGTACCAGAATTTTCGACAACATGCTCCAGTGAAAATTAAGGTTTGTTGCTTGCCACATTAGAAAAGCCAGTGTCAAACCTTTTGGTAGGTTTTAATTTTTTTCATTCCACATTAGTTCTCATTGGAAATAATGTTTTATAAAACACATGGACCTGCCCTATAGCGAGACATGTAGGTATATTTTTATTCTAGAATTAAACAATTCCAATGGCTTGAGCTCGTTTTTCTTTAGCGTTAACTATTATAAATAATTGACTCGGCTAAGGCTGGTGCTTCACACATGACACCTAACACTCACTAACACGTACAGTAGGCAGCAATAAAATGAATGACTCAAAAAAATTGGTCGGGCATCGTATCTTCGCGCGGCGTAGAGTCAGACAGCGTCCCGGCCGCGCGCCCAGCGCCGGCTGCCGTCCGCCAGCGCGTCCGACAACTGCTCCACGCGCTGCAACAACTCCTCCGTCGGCGACACCGCGCGCCCCGCGCCGCGCCGCCCGCGCTCGGGGCTCGGCGCCGCGCGGCTGGACCCCGACCCTACGCATTGTAGCTGTATGGGCGCGCAACTTGAACTGGGGACTGCGCATGGTAGCTGCACGGGTGCACGGCTGGAACTGGGGCCCGAGCATGGTAGCTGCACGGGTGCACAGCTAGAACTGGGGCCCGCGCATGATAGCTGTACGGGCGCACAACTGGATCTGGGTCCTGCACATGAGCGTTTTACGCGTACACAGCTAGAACTGGGGCTGACGGCCTGCAGCTGTAGCGGGTCGCGGCGCGGGGCGGCGGGGCCCGGCGGGTGCAGCTGGAGCGTGGCGCGGCCGAGGCGCACGTGTCGCGCGGCCCGCAGGTCGCAGCAGGCGGCCCGCGGCGCCGCGTCGCTGCCGGACTCGCGCCGCTCCGGCAGCTGGACGCCCGTGTCACACATCCACGCCTTGCAGCGCTGCACGTACATAGCAACAACGAAACTTATAATCATTATATAAAGTAATGAACGAGACATCTACTGCTGAACATAAACCCATAGATAATTATATCAAAGGTATTAACAAAATAGTATTAACAAAATTGTAACATACCTTAGCAGCGGCCTCTTTATTTTCCAACACCCGTAACGTCGTAGGAGTGGAGGAACAGCTCGGCGTATCACTGGGACTGACGCTGCGGCAGGGTGGGCTCCTCGACTTGCATGTGAAGCTGCGATCATCTCTGGATTGACACTTGGAGCACGGCGCCAGCTTCTCGCAGGTGGTGCAGATGTGTTGGGACCCGCTTTGCCTCTCTTCCAGGTGGCGCCGGAGTATCTCTAGCAGAGCGTCCTTTTCCTTAAGTAATGCTTCTTGTTCTCTGTAAATTATATTGTGTGTTTTGTTAACAACGGTTAGGACCAAAAGTATCTACGTATGTGCAACAACAAGGTGAGTGTACCTGTGCTTGTCTCTCATCCTCCGCATCCAAGTCCGCACGGCGCCGACGGCGCGGCGCGACTCCCCGCAGAGCGCGGCGCCGCGCGCGTAGGCCTGCTCCAGGTGCGACTGCAGCTCCGCCACCGCACTTACCTTCTCTCTGCAACACATCGCGACAACGTACGCATTTTATGCAAGTCGTAGAGTTTGCAAACTCTTTATGCGGTCGACTTGTCAATTGAGTTTGCACCGCGAGATTAATAGTAGCCGAATACGCTGCTGGTACGAACTACGAGCTTCGCGCTACGAACTGCGCGCTACGAGCTACATACTGCAGCCATATGTAGCCGTGAAATGAAATTTAACGGCTTATAGATATAGGGTTACAAACTGTTAGTAATAAAAACGAAATAATTTGTTTTGACTGAGAAAACTACTCAATACCTGTAGCAAGCGTCGATCTTCTGCGTGTGCGCGCGTGTCCTGGCCAGTTCCTGGTCGAGCGCGCACACGTGGCGCTGCGAGTCGTCGAGCTGGGCGCGCCACAGCTCCACCTGCGCGCTCAGGTACGACACCTCGCTGCGCATCTTGCAGTTCTGTGCGCATACCAGGACGTTAGGAAACTTGGCTTATAACTACTGTCCAATACACATTTCAGTCGAATACCGATGAGATACTCGTAAAAATACTGGAAAGATAGACATTTTGCCAATCCCAAATTACATGATGTAGGATAATAATTGTTTTCTTACCCGACAACATCACCTCACAATATCTTATTGTATCATTCCCCTCAATATTCTTACCTCTTTTATAATACTGTCGGCTTTTTCCAGTTCTTCCTGAATATTCTGAATCTTCTCCGCTTGACACTCATTCTCTTGTTTCAGTTGATTTATCAATTCCGTCTTCTCGTCCAACAACGCTGCACAAATTAATGAATATTTTATTTTTTATGTAAATAGACACTTGATAACTAGATAAATTATTAAGTGCCTATTTAAGTAACATTATCTATTTATTAACAATACCTTTAGTACGTCTGAGCTGCATTGACATCGCTTCACACGTGTCTTCCTGTGAACGTGCCAATTGCTCCCGTATCTTTGACAACTGAAATCAATACGTTCACTCAATATCATCACGTACGTAGGTATCATCGACCAGTCATCATCTGTCAACATTAGTACGTGGACTTACTTCTTGATGTTTCATCTCGATCTCTGCTTGGTATTTCAGGTCTGCGTCGTTCTTGAGTGCGAGCACACCTTCCAAGCTACATAGCTTTTGTTGCAGATTACCCATTTTAATCTAAAGTTGAAAAGTAAGTAATAAAGGTCATTAAGTATACTTCGGTACAAAAGGTTGAGAAGGTTGCTAAACAAGCGACAGTCTGCCAAGAAAGGCATTATATAACAGAATGTTAGATTGTTCCCTATCGACAACTACCTCTAAGACCTCTCTGTTAAGTGTGAAACGATTTAGAAGAAGAAATACTTCGACATTATCACCGATACTCACACGTAGTCCCTCAGCTTCTTTCTTTAGCTTTATATTTTCGTCCTTCAAACCACAAGAGCAACCAAGCTAAAAAAAATAAAAAAAAGAATCATAACAAAAAAAATACAAATCAATTCACTATCAAAGAAACAAAAAATAGGTAAATAATAAGTAGTTGCACAATGACCAGCAGGTCAACCTGCTCCAATCCGTCATTTTTTTCTTTGGATTTTCGATGTGATAATAAAGAACATAACATCACGCCTTTTATCCCCGAAGGGGTAGGCAGAGGTGCACACAGAAGTACCACCCACTTTTCACTATTTATGTATGAGTCCCATGTAATAGGGGGTGAGCCTATTGCCATATACCGGACACAATTCCAGACTCCGTGCTATTACTGACATTTTTTTAAATACCCTGTAATACATAATAAAGAAATGAAGTTGAAAATCTTATAACAAGACAGAAAGGATTAGGTAGACCTGCCCAATGTACTGAAAGTAAGTCAGTCTGGCGTCACCTACAGCGAGCAAGTCCTGCAGACGCAAGAGTTGTTCCGTGACTTCCTGCAAGTCATCCTGCACGCCTGGTACTGATGTCAACGAGTCCTCACTACGCTCCCACATACCCTGGCGCCAATCAAACAATCACAACTTGCAAACGTATTTATTTGGCACAAAAATTATAATAATGTCATAGAAAGCTTCGTTTTTCTCTTATCTTGTTAGTACAGAATGCGTTGTTAGTAGATATCTACCGAGTCGTGATTTGTCGATGTCGACGTGGTACTGTTCAAAAAGTTCGATATCTCCGTCTTCAAACCATCAACTTCTGAGGCTATGTCCTGCATCAATAAAATATTTTCTTATCAAATAAACATTGTGTTGTGACGGCTATAATGGATAAACAAATAGGTACATAAGTATTAAGTACGCTTCATTAGTGCCATCTAGGTAGCGCAGAAATTATATCTCTCATTTTGGAATAGGATTAGGTAAGCAAATAGTTATTTTCGAATTACCTAAGCAAATAGTTATTTTCGAAAATAAACAATAACGTAGCTATACTAACTTTACATCTATCTATTGACCATTTCTGCTTATCGATCACAGTTTGGAGGTGCCCAATTTGATCAGCTTTCTGTTTCTCCATAAGGCGCACATCTAGATATGAACTGCGAAGCATTTCTATTAAGTTCTCCTGTTTTGCAGTCTGCGAATTAACAACACGGGCGTAAATACAAAATAGTTATTGTAGAACCTCATTAAACATTTGTTTTATGAACATTTGGCAATCATCACTTGGTGGCTTACCTCATAAAAGCATTCCCTGTAAAGTTCCTCTATAACGCTTAAGTTGTTCTCCAACGTGGTCACTATCGCTCTCTGATCTTCCATCTAGAATGATTCCAAGCACACCGCAACACCAACCATCCAATAAGATATTTGGGAGTTTAGTAAAGTAAGAACAGACACGAGACGCTTTTATTTTATAAGTCTTTATTGTTTTAAAGTAGGTTAATGTTTGCTGTATTTTTTAGTTTGTTAGTTACATGTATAATAAAGTTTATTAATAACTTACAGAGACTTAATGTACACTTTACTCACCGGTCTGTCCGTGACGACACACACGTCATGCTTCACCACCTTGCAGCAGTCTCCAAACTTGCGCAGAGTCTGATACTGCAAACATATTTCTTGATATAATTTCTCTTTGAAAATACAATTTAATATTAATCAAATAAGTAAATGGCTAATTAAGATTGGTAATGAGATATGATAGTAAAATGACCAGTAGAAAACCAGCCGTTTTGGCAGATCATGCTCTTAGGTCAGCATTTCGTAACTGACAAGAAAGAAGAAACATCAAAACAAACACAGTCTCTGTTCCAGATATATGAAAGACGGGAATGAAAAGATAGCTACGAATCCAGTGTCATACCTCTTTAGTCTTCCTATCAAGTTCTTTCTTCAGTTCATTAGCACGTTCTGTAAGTGTAGCGATACGCTCCTCAGCCACCGCTAAACTGTCCGCCTGAACTCCTATCGTTTCCTCTTTATTCTGCAACTGTTAGCAATTTATTATTTAGTGAGGAAACAAGATTTATTATTTAGAAGTACGAATTCGATGGTACAAGTATACTAGATAACTTACTATCTGTAGAGTAGCTAGTAATTTACTGTGGTAGAAGGACGCGTCGCAAGTTGCGGTTGAACTGTCAATTAGACTACAGGTGGCGCCACTGTCCTGTTGAGATATTCAAAAGTATTTAGTGTCTGTGTTCTTTAATTTTTTTCTCTTAAAGATTTCTCCCAGTCATAGCACGCCACAGCTGCTCAAGACGCACTCTATCCCAACCCAACATGATTAATACCATATGTTCAGGTATTTATTTATTTACGTTTACGCACACTTGTTCCATGCGATGTGTGAACTATGGTGTGTAAAATTAAACTGACACGTTAAATACTACAAACATGAAGAATGTTACGATACATTCCAACTGCAAATGTTTACTGTCGTTTCTTTCAACTAGGAATATATTTATCTACAGCAATTTTTTCATGAAGTTCTGAAACCTTTGGAGTCAATATTTTTTGCTATGAAGCAACAAGGACCTAGTTTGTTTATTGTATTGTTATTAATTAAGGTTCTCAGGTTTTCATAGAGATCTAAGAAGGTAATTAATGAAGACCTAACACCGAGATACTTAGGTACCTACCTAAGCTCACATGCAGACATAAATATACTCATATCATGTCATTAAGAAGTATCCAACTCAATTAGACAGCGCTAATTAAACTTTGTTGATACATAAAGGCGCCATCAAACGCATATCATCTCATCAGCAATAAAGATGCCCAATATATCCCCAAACACATACCTATACATAGACGAGCAGGAAATCGTTAACAACCACAAAGGGTACGGTAGTTAAAAGCCAAATATTCGTAATTGAGGTCGCGATAAAATTGATCAAAGGTGGTCGTAAGAGCTCCTTCTGGAATGGGTTTAGATACATACTCAAGTAACGACTTGAACTAGAGAATAGAATGGCGCCGGCCGTGTTTTATTTAGTAGTTCAGAATGTGTATGCTCGTAAATTACACACGTAAACTATGGAAGGGATCTTCTAAATTATAACATTCTGGAAGGTGTTGTGTAGTCTGTTTCAGTCATGAACTCATGAATTTCTTCTTTTATTGCAATTCAACGAAATCTAACTAGGACGGTAGATGAAAGTTTGCGCACAAGCATTTTTAACATTAGGCACACAATCCGCTAGTTGTAACAGTATTAACTGTACCTACCTAATAATCATAGCTGAAACACACCGTTCGTGAGTATGGGCTCTTAGAGTGGTTTGAAATTAGTCGAGATACCTAGTGAGAAATACAGAAATGTGTATAATACAGGAACATTATAACAAGTTCAAAATGATGTTATATATTCAGTTCCATTTTTCTGCTTTAGTGTCTTAATTGACCCCCACACCGACTAACTTAAAACTCTATATACCTAGATGAATATTCAAAGGTGCTTAGATCCTCACACAAAATCAAAATAAACGGTTATTTAATAATTTTCCTGACTCCGTGTAGCGAAGTTAGCACCCGATCTAAATGTTTCTAAACGGAATCTTGACACTACTTAATTGGTATAAAATACTATACTGATTTCTATGTAGCCATTAGGTATATATCAGCCTATCCATTCTGGAACATGCATGTTATGTCTTGCGAATGTGATACCAACATATTCGTACCTACATATCACGGCAAACACAAAACATTATCGATCACCATTAACCATAATAAAAAAACAAAACCTGCCAACTAGATCCAACGCTCAATGTGTTAGCTGGACAACAACGTCACAACACTAGAGTGCACACTTACTTTGGTAACATCACTAGCGTCCGAGTCCCCGCACATCAAGAGTCCATTGAACATCATGTTACACTGCACAACTACTTTATTGACAAACACTCTACAACAAACTACAACGTGCGCGTACGCAGCGGTCTGCACGGGAATGGATGCGCCGGCGACGGTGCACGCGATATATTTAGAACATCGTAAATAGTCATTTTTGAAGGGACGGTGGCGGTGGCCCACTTTGTTCTTTATTCTCATAGCTGCACCCGTTAGGGAGACAGCATGTTCCCTAGATAAACAAAATATGGTTTGCTGTGCAAATATTTTTTCTTGGTGATAGATTTAGACGTACCTAAGGTACGTAAACAAACTAAAATGAATTTGTAGGATTTACAAAATAGTACATTTTATTTTTTGAAAGTCAAAGAGAGAGTAAGATTTTCAGCAGATTCCCAAAGAGCGAGTAACATCTCAGGTGCTTCGAAAACGACTAAGATCCTTATTGCTCTTCATAATGAAGACCTTAAAGATGATTCAAAATTTAGTTTATAAAGAACAAATAAGTAGGTTCATTAAAAAAAACTAGTTTACAAATGAGAATCACCCTATACATAGCGCAGGTAGTTCATTAGTTAAAAAGATCGCATGGCGAGCGGTTTCCGACGGCGACGTCCGCTCGTTTCGTCACAACACGGGATAAACATAGACCAACACTTCGAGATAATCGGGATTATGTCGTTAGCATCGAATAAGGAACGTTACACCGATTTTAATGAACGAATGGGTTACAACTGTTAAGCTTTAACCGATTTAACAAGGCAGTAAAAGCATCGCACCGGTTCGTTAAGTCTAGCATTTGTTTATAGTGTAAGTCACCCAGGTTTTATGGGGGTATTATAGGTAATTGACTTTGTATTATATAATTATTATATTTGTATTTTGACCAAGAAGAATTGGGTATGGAATTGGCTACAATAGTTCGGAAGTTATGTGTAGTTAAGAAGCATGTTAGGTCAACAAATCTATTAGCTGTTTTCTAAATAGTATTTAGTCTACTTACCTTTCTCATCTTAGTGGAAGAACTACACGTCAGACCTTTTTGTAGTTGCCTGAAACAAAACATAATATTAAAAGTTCTGCCAATAACAATGTTCACAAGTAGATAGTGATAAATCACTTACGTGAACAGCTCCGACGGCGTTTGCTTGCACTGAAAGAAATAAATGTTTTGGGTCAATTTTATTTTTGTGGATATAAGCTACTACAGCGAGGATATTCACTCGATTCGATCGCGGTCCGTCATAACTTGGTTGTGATCATAATCTCGACCAACGACAGGCGAGGATGCGATCTAGCTTCGAAAGTTTCGAATTCACAGTTGCAAAATAGCCTTGCAGTTCTCGACCACGAAAAGTAAGTATCTACGTGCATTGTTTAATCGGGTACCTATATAGGTATCTACAACCTAATAAAATACCTAAATATTGCATAAATTCACTACGTATTGAAACAATGTGGACTAACCCTCTGTGAGTCTGAGCGCTCGGTACAGCAGCTCCTGCAATCAGGTCGACGATATAAAAACTTCCACAAGTCATAAATATGTCAACTTGCGGTCACCTAGCTTATAGTTACGGTTTGTTGCAATCTCAACAAAGATACAATATACTACTGGAAAGAAATTCGACAGTGGCAGAGAGCCCTACATTAATTTATATATACGTATGTACCTACCAAAGATGAATCAGTTTATCCACTGGCGAAAAGTGTATAAAAATACGTTGAATAGATTTTGAATTAATCGTGAACCAACAAATGCGACGGGAACTTTATTTTATAATATTTAGTTAGGACAGAAATATAAGTAACGTAATGAATATGGGGAGGAAGTTACATTGAAACTCACTTAGGACTTGAACAACTACTCTTCTTGATTTCATCGTTAAAGTATATCTCTTCAACGCATTCACAATCAACCGTCTCTTCAAAGCATTCACAATAAACCTTATCTTTGCCGCATTTACAATCGACCTTTTCTTTGCCGCATTTACAATCGACTTTCTCTTTGCCGCATTTGCAATCGTCCTTCTCTTTACCGCATTTAGAATTGACCTTCTCTTTACCGCATTTACAAATTGCCTTCTCTTTGCCGCATTTACAATCGTCCTTCTCTTTGCCGCATTTACAAATGACCTTTTCTTTACCGCATTTACAAATAACCTTCTCTTTGGCGCATTTATAATCGTCCATCTCTTTGCCGCATTTACAAATGACTTTCTCTTTGCCGCATTTACAATCGTCCTTCTCTTTGCCGCATTTACAAATGACATTCTCTTTGCCGCATTTACAAACGACCTTCTCTTTGGTGCATTTACAATCGTCCTTCTCTTTACCACATTTACAATGGACCTTTTCTTTGTCACATTCACAATGGACCTTTTCTTTACCGCATTCACAATGAACCTTCTCTTGTTTCTTTTTTTTCTGAGGCTTGTTGGCGGGACATTCAGGCTGGGCAAATTTCGATAGTCCTTGATTGTGACCTTCCCCATAGCACCGACTGGAATCTATAGACTTGTGACACGGTGGCGGACGCTGAGCCGGACAGCTGGGCTCTTGGCTGGGACAACGTCGAGGAGACCCTTGCAGGGTACAACCTCGGGATGATTCTTGCCAGGGACAAACTTGGGGAGACTCCTGCAGTGGACAGTATCTAGGAGAAGCCTGACAGGAAGAATTCTTGGAAACGTTACAAGGCGGTGTCCGTATAGATCCCCTTGGAGTACAGAAGACAGTATTGTTTGACTGGTCTTTCTTGAATGAAGTGTTGTGTTTCTGGAAGTGACACTCGAGATCTGCTATCGAGGCATCAGACACCAGGACCGGTACTGAACAGGACTGTGAACAAACAACAATATTTCAATGTTAATTTACAAACGTTAGCTTATAAACAGGTTCACGGCTATATTGATAAAATCCTGGTAACACCTCGCTTACAGTGATGGGAGGTAATTATCGTTTTACATTATAAAACACTAGTCACAAATCGAAGTACACTATGTACCGTACCTTACGTCTAAATGGATAAATTAGTATCATGTAACTATACAAATAGATATTGTAACTGGACATTCGCTACGGTTAATTGCAGTCTGACTCACTAACGGGACGGAACATCAAAGTGAAGTGTGAGACAAAATAAAACGCACTCTCTCTATGAAGGATACGTTTGGCGTGGACGAGGTGACCTCGCACTGCAGCGCACAGCTCTGGTTAGGAGTCGAAGTCTTCGGCTCAGCACCAGGGCACTTTCGAAACAAAATAAATAAATAAATTCACAATATTCTACAACAGTTTACTGGGTAAACATGACTAATCTGAGACAATCTTTATATTAATTTTATCTTTAACATTTTGTCATAAAGTCAAATATAGGTCATTGAAGAATCCCCCCAGAGTAAGTTGGTCTACTGACAACTTGTATAGCCCACTATAATTTACTTTCATTTCATTAAAGTTGCTCAGCATTCAAAGCATACAAAATGAGAACCTAATATTCTGTATATTAGTTTATATCATGTCCATTTGAAACCCACAGTAAGTTATGAGGAATATAAATAGTAATAAAGCGGTCCAAACACAAGATACTGAAGAATAAATCAATTTAACAAACGCCTGTTTCAAATAAATTGTATAATGATCAAAGTGGTGGTTAAAATTGTGAAGTATCTTACCTTTTCAGTTGCTTACTGTAGATGTGTGCACTTGGTAATAATTAACCAATCAATTAAAATAAGTTAAAGTAATCGAGAACATTATATTTTATGCACCAATTAAAGAAATCTTGTCAGAGGCATGAGTGCTTGTTTTCAAATTTCGATAACTCACTTTACTACCCTAAATTTCAAATACAAAAATATCCTGACGATATCTTTTAAATAAATATTTCTACTTTATTATTACAATACAAAAACACTATCTCCTACGAATTTGATGTCATGACAGGTACCTAACCAGCTGCGGAACCAAATTGCAGTTCCCGTCAACTTTGATAATTCTCGTACCTATTGTAGAAGACATGAAATAAATTAAGGAAGGTACCTGTAGCCTATGTCTCTTCGTGAAACCATTGGATTTCCTGTTAAATACCTTGAACATTAATTTTTAAGGTTACGTGCGGCAACCAACTAGAGTTTCGATTGATTGACGGTACTCATTAGGTACTCAAAGACGCTCACTTATTCAAATGTAAGCAGCACTTGGATAATCGTGACATTTTACTACAAGTTCATATAATATGCCTTAGTCAAGCCCAAGCAATAATAAACATAAATAAACACACATCTGCAAAATAGGTCCATTAGCCCCCTTACCTTACGCACTAGCGGTTGGCCACCTAAGTGCTAGGTGGTTCGTATCGCCTGCCGCGGCTGCCACTGCGGGTGTATCATGGTTGGAAAAGCGGCCTACCACGGGCAGCGGCTAGCCGCGCGGTTGGCCGCTAGTGCGTAATGGAGCTTACTCTCTAAGCTTTACTAAACTTCTTCTAAAACTGCTGCAAAGTCAAAAATCTCAACTAAACGTACGTTTAATAGAATAAACCGTAAGAATATTAATGAAGAGGTTAGTCGATATTCATGGATTCATCGTTGGAGAGGTTGACGTTGGTCCGACAGTCGTACGGTCGCAGCGCGGTGTCCCGCAGCGGCACGTCGCGCTTGCGCCGCGGCTGCGCGCGCACGCACGCGATGGTCACCGAGTCGTACGACACGGACGACCCGTGGGGACACTCACCGTCGCCGCTCACGTAGTCTTTCGACTTCAGGCTAGTGACTTCTGAGTTGTCCTTTATCTGCGAAAGTCATCTCATGCTTTAGCGTAAACCAGTGGTAGGCACACTACGTATAAGGCCCGCTGACGGTCCTTCGACATGAAAATTCAAAAGCACTTATTACCTATAATATGGATCAAGCAAGTTGCATGATAAAGACTACTTAATAATAATTAATCACAAGAGTCACTAACTATGCAAACAATCCTAATGTCGTAGGATACCTTGGCCTTAGCCAGCTTGAGCTGTCGGCGCATCTCCTTGATGATGTCGTCCTTGAAGAGCGCGCGCATGTTGGCGTCCCGGCACTGCTCGTCGAGCGCGGCGCACACGCGGCGCATGGCGTGCATCTCCTCCGACAGAGTCACGTTCACTTTGCGCAGCGCGCGGATATTGTCGCTGCTAGACTACAGAGACCAAGTTCTAATGTACAGACACAAATTCATCTTATTGGCATACATAATTATGTAAGTATACATTTTTTTTTTTCAGTTTTCTTTATATTTATGCTAACGGTCATTTTACGTTATTATAATTACACAGGTATTCCTGATCTCAGCTTGTTTAGTTGACCCAAAAACTAAAGGTTCCTTTATTCTGTTTGACCAAGACATTAAAATGGGATTTTACAATATAAAAAGTGATTAAATTTCAACTATTTCAATAGAAAATACCAAACCTTGAGGTTAGTCTCCATCTTCTGTATCCGCTCCTGGTACTTGAGCGTCTCGTGGCGCAGCAGCTCGCTGATGTCCTTCACCGGCTCCCACTCGCCGCACTAAGTCAGCACACCACGTGAACATGCACATACAGGGATAGTTTACATAATGGAATGTAAATTACATTACAATATGGTAGGTAGGTACTACAAATAAATGAGCTAATTCAATATTTTTGAGGTACTTAAAGTGTAATTACTTATGTCAATAGGGGTATTTGAAAAGAGGATTACTTGGTATCTACGTGGTAGTATAAAAAAGTGAGTATCATGTGTTTGGACCGAAGTAAACGTAAGCGGTAGTTCCATACCTCAGTCCCCGTGCAGCACATGCCGGCCATCACCTCGGCGTCCTTTTTCGCCACCTCTCTACGAACAGGGAAATCCATCGAATTTGTAGTTACCACCTGTCACTTTAGTATGCCATAACAATTTCAACCAATAAATATTGTCATCCGAACAAGATATAAAAAAAAATGTTATGTATTTTTGTTTCCCGGATTTCATCTGTCGAGCGCATACAATCTATCGCAGGATGTTGCACCAGAGTTACTATTTCTGTCGCCACATGACGCGACACAATGGCAGGTGGTAGTAGTACTCACGGCGAGTGATACTTGCAGCTTGACATCTCTTTCCTAAGGTTCATGATGGTTTGCTCGTATGCTTGGGCTTCCTTATTCAGCTGTCTTATCTCTCTGTAGGAACCATTGGACTTATTATTATAGATATACTCAGGTACCTAAGTAGAAGTCTACCAATTTAATCTCCACTGCTCCACATTACCTTTCCTTGGCCATATTCTCCTTGTGCAGCGTCTCGTTTAACAGCTTCAGCTCCGACACTTTACCGCATATTATGTTCTTCGAACCTCTCTGTTGCGACATCACAATATTGACAGATTCATTATCAGTAACTTGTTACGGCATTCTAAGTTCTACTGCCTAGTGCAGTCGTTTGAAGATGAGAAAACATAATTATGACTACAAAATATTGTTACTGCAAGATAGAGGTAATAAAAAGGAAAACACAGCAGACTTGGTAGTAATACAAATATAATAGAATTATTCTCCAAAATGTCATGTAAATAAATAACAATACAATTAGAGATTTATGTTATTCTGTAATGCCGACTGATTTTATATCTGTTCGTCTCTTGTTTGTAGCTGCGTGGCTTCCAGTCGCCGCGCTCCATCTTGTTCTGACGCCTGTATAACGTACCAGACATTTAGTTTACAAACAAAATACAACACAAACAATGACATTTATAACTTTCAGCTTTTAAAAGTGCATTATTTTTTTCGGCCCAAAATTGCAAAGTATTGTCAAGACTTACCATTCGACTGAGCCGAAAATATCAGATTCGGTGACTTCAGAGAACTGTATCCCGGCGAGGGTGCACTTGTCATTCTCCCGGAGCCTGCGCAGTACCTCCAACAAGCCACGAAGGTCTGAGTCTTTGCGCACGAGGCGACCGCGCAACGCACAGCACTCCGCGCGGAGCTCGGACACCACCTGACCGACACCAAGTTGCAATGTTAGTATAAGCACCAGAAAACCTACTATTCTACATAAGGGCTTTAGCGACCTGCTAGCCTCGTCGTGGTTGTTTCCCTTTAGACCACAATTTTACTAATTCTGTAGCTCCCAAAATGCGACTGAGTAGCACAATCAGGTGGTGTTCGAGACTAAAGTTCAACATCAAAACGACTGCACTAACGCAATGGAAACATAGTATTTGTATTGCAGGTAAACCTAGGGAGATATAACCGGCTTTATTACAAGTATCCATTGGAACTTGTTTCGAAATTAGGTACTTGTTTGGGAGAACTTGTTGACTTATTAGGGATGATAACCTAGTGTGTGTAGTCCAAACAATTAATAATTTATCTCTATAAAACCATACCTCGCTGTTCTTCTGGCGTTCCATCATCAGTTTGGTGGTGGCTTCTGTCTCAAGCTCTTCTACAGCACGCGCGAGGAGTGTGTTCTGGCCCACCAAGTCACTCACCCACGATCGAAGTAGATTCACTTGTTGCTGTCATGGAAGTAATGAGGCATTGGTGACGATTCAGACCAAATTAAATGCTGATCTATCCCACTCACCTAAATCAATACTAATAAAAAATATGCTCTGAACCGGTTAACCGAACTGACCTGCAGTTTAGTAACGCCACAGGCCCTCTCTAATTGTTCCAACTTCTCCTCATAGAGCCGCTGTATGTCCTTGAGGATGTCGAGTGTCGGTCCCTCCTTGCACACGCACAGCCCCGGGTCCCTCTCGGCTAACTCACACTCCCCCACACAAGGATCCATTATGAAATAAATTGATATTAAATCGTGTTTCTAAAGATGCTGTTGCATTGTAAATCCTTTGCGAAAATAAGGCTCCATCACTTCAGATAGGGTGACGTTTTTTTCTTGCGTTTGTTCGGTGAGGTTTTATATTTGTAACTGACAGAATGATGAAATAAGAATAAATAAGACCAGTGTTAAATTTTAATGTCAATGTTGTGACTAAAAAGTTTTGATGTACAATTCTATCAAGAAGTTTCCAATCCTTGTCGCAAGCCAACTTCGTGATGGAATTGCTCACTAGACGGCGCTAGTGAGACCCCTTTCGTTCTTTACCCAATAGGAAATTAGCCAATGTTACACCATTGGACGTTCAATATTTGACAGCTGCTGTGATTGGACAAAAAGTCCTTTCTACATTTAAGGAAGGTGGTGAAGGTGAGCAAAAAAACGTTAGTCGCTATTGGTTGCAAATACGACTGCCGGGCATCAAGACATAGGTTCAATTCTGAGTTTTGATATTTCTTTATTTAATAATAATTATTATAGTAGAAAAACAAAATATTGATATCAAACAAATTTGGTTGGGAATTGCCCAAATGTTAAATGAATGGAACCACTATGTGATTTCGTACTCTAATCAGTAAATAAAAAATAACATATAATTAACTTGCCCAAGGCATTAAGTCCACCTGTACACATTTGTTGTATGAAGTTGAAATAAATAAATAAAACGACAAAATTCTATACAATTGTGTATATTTGGATTAAATTAATTTGGCTAATTCTTTGTACCTAGTGTATATTCACAGTAAGCTTCTATTTCTAGTGTTTCACACAACACATACATATTTTAAGCGACATCCACAATCATTGATGGTAAAAGTGCTCCAAATATATTTTACGATCACAAAACAATAATTAACTCATTTTAGATGAAACCTGTGACAAGATCACACATCAGCATATCAATGTACCCGAAACTCCATTTCAATTTTCAATCTTACTACTTTGTAATAAAGGTGACAATCTACTAAAGAATTTAAACTGATTTGAGGTAGCATGATGTGCTGGTGTCTGACTGAGCTAAAACTAAAACAACACTTGAACCCACATCCAACTGTACCAGTAAGGCATTAACAATAGTTAACAGATAGTGGTGAAACGTCGATCCATCAAATATAATGACATAAAAAGAAAACATCTTTATATTCTTCGCAGTTGAGTTCATATTCGTGCAATAGGTAACACTTTGAATGCTTTCCGGATCAACAAACCGTCTTATTTCCTAGAACACTATTCTGAATCACAGAGAATAGTATACAGACATGTCAGTATATGGCAATACATTATAATTCAATTGAAAGATACTTTCAAAAATAAAACTCTACATACAAATATTTACAGAATGTTCTACTTACAACTACATAGCTTCAACAACAACGTCATCATCATCACACAGGTACTGACACTGCGCAATATAAATAGTACTGAGTAAAGTGCTATCAACGAGAACTAGTTATATTCAAGATACGTTAAAACGCTAATAACTTACAGTCTTGTATTGCAAACTACAATTTTATTACATGGTGCAGAAACATTTAAAGGTACACCATACACGAAGGTATAACAGAGAAATAGTTCATACATCAAATATGACATAAAAATAATTCAAAAAACATTGAAGTATAATATTAATATTCGTCTAAAAGTGAGCACTGTGTGCCTTTAATCTCAATCTCTCAAGTCTCGCAGTGCGCCGCGGAGCCTCCAACTAAGTCTCGGGCTCCGGTCTGACCGGCCGCGGCCCTATATACTACACAGACCATTCTCACATACCTCGCTTAAAACTCGCATCAATTTTTTTATTGCACACAAGAATTGACATCAAAATATCAAATAAAAAATCTTTTAAGTATTCAAGTTCCTTAAATAAAACGACGTATTATAATTTGATTTCCAAACTATGATAATATTCTCTTCTTATATTAAGTAGTTATGGACATATAACTTTCAATAAATGCTGTACATTTACTTTTTTAAAGTGATGTTCTTTGCGCCACTCAAAGCGCATTTATACATACAATATATTGTTAGAACACATAAACAACCAGCGTCTACGTTAAAGATAAGTTGATAATTTATTACAACTATTGACCATGACTACAACCATCGTATAAACGTGTCAATACAGAATAAACGTGAACTTACCACCTAACGAGGAACTATATTAACAAAGCGAGTTTCTGTATCATTTTAACATAAAATAACTTACACAAGCTCTTCTAACACTTAAATCTTAAGCTGCCACCTAACAACAAATAGCTAGTTAATGCTTATATTCGGTAAATGTTGAGAAAATGCAGAGAAATATTATAACAAAATCATTGATTACTTCAAAGTAAATAAGTCGTGTACTATTGTGAGGCATTGAATAATGATTCCTATGACTACGTACAATAAGCTCACTCTTGCCGTGCCCGTCCGCCCGTCAGCACTAGATTCTATTTCGCAATGGTGATCTGAAATAAAATAAGTTTTATGATTTTATGTTTGAGGAACCAAGTGACTTAAATTAATAAAGAAATAATTACAAAGAAGAAGATTACTAAATAAAAAACGTATGGATTTGCGAGAAAAATGAAGACTTATGATAGGGGGGAGTGGAATAAAAGGAGATATTAAGTCCATTCCAAATATATTGAAATAAGGGACAGAAAAAAGTTACCCTATCTGTAAGTACTTGCTTTGAAAGATAAGTCAATTACATTTATACATACTTGATCACCAGATCCAGCAACATTTACAGAGCATCAAAGTCCATGTTCAGTACATCTGTTTGAGCTGTTCATACGTGAGGAAGAAGATAATGTTCCAGGGCCCCATTCGCAGCCAGGTTGGCACGAAGCCCTTGTATAAAGCCATGAAACCTTCATTGCGCACTGTCTGCAAAGTCAAGAACGTGATGTATAGTGCATTGTAAATTGAACTTTATTTCTTGAGTTTTTAGACTAATTATGCTTAGCATGTCGACCAAATGTGTTTGATTAACAGTTATGTATCGTATGTAGATGTACCTGTAGGAAGCAGTCCACAGTTCCTTTGTATATCCTCTCGTTGGGCTTCGGCGCCTGTCCCTTCAACTTTCTTTGGTTCATTAGCCGCGTCTGAAAGATTAAACAGCTACTTATCACAGGTCTTATAAATAACCAACATTGTTGAGTAATGTTAACATTTTACTGTGTAAACATGATGGAAGCTGAAGAAGTCTGATATCAAAAGTGGTGCTGTAGTTTTTGCCTATTCCCACGGGACAACAGCGTGAGTTCACGTAAACGTGTTGCGGTACCCGGATGACATCGAGCGGCGTGCTGGCCACGGCGCTGCCGAGGCTGGCGAGCAGGCTGGACGCGAAGTGGTTGAGGGGCGAGTCTCCCAGCGGCGCGGTGAGGCGCTTCTTGCAGGCGTCGTACACCGGCAGCTCCACGGCCGCGATGACGGCGGCGCGCTGCGACGTCGGGCCCACGCCGCGCCACAGCCCGCGCCAGCCCTCCAGCCGGTGGATCTCCATGAAGCATCGCACTAGGCCACGCTTCTCGTCTCCCACCTGAAAATGTACACAAAAATACTTGAGATTCCAAGCTCCAACGTAACATTGCAAGTGGCTTTGATTAAATTTCATCGTTTATGATGGATATTCTACGTGGTAGTACAAAGCGTTTGGTTTCGAGTTTCTTCTCGCAAACCGCTCAAGAATGCAGCAGTCGCCAGAAACTGCTTCCACCAAAGTACCTAATGTAACAAACATGAGCTCACCTGCATCCGCACTTTAAGCACATCTGTAGGGTTGGCGATGGCACTGGAGAGTCCACCAGCGAAGGCAGCACAGAAGGTGTTGGTAGGCAGGTGCTCAATGGAGCCCCCGTCCGCCCTGTGCTGCGCTATCCATTTCTTCATGGAGTAGTACGTGCCGAACTTTATCGTGCCGTACGTCGCCTGCCGGAGCACCGCCGGCCAGATACTGAAGACAATACAAACACTCTCGTAAATAAATGAAGATATAATATATATAGGAAAACTAGCTTCTGCCCGCGACTTCGTACGCGCAATCCCATTTTCCCATTTTCACATTTTCGTTCCCGTTCGTGATTTTCGGTAAAAAGTAAAAAAAAAGTATTCTACAAAAAGTATCCTTGTCCGTCTCCTGCCAATTTTCATCCAAATCGATTGAGGCGTTCTTGAGTTATAAATAGTGTAACTAACACGACTTTCTTTTATATATATAGAAGATGTCATCTATAGACTAAACATTAACTACCGAACAAAGACTCAATAGCGATGACCCCAAAACTACGAAGTTTTATGTTATATCGGAATCAGGACTACGATAATAATCGTTTCACATAACATAAATCACGCCTTTTATCCCGAAGGGGTAGGCAGAGGTGCACATTATGCCACTGTACAATGCAACACCCACTTTTCACTATTTCT